CCCACTTCCCAGCCAACCTAGGAATGTTGAGGCGCCTGCTCGTGGGCCTCGGTGGGCATCTCCACTTCCTTAGCACTTCCATTAACCTTTGCTACTGTCCTTTAACAGAGCTTACTTCTCTGAGCTGGTATCCAGAGCCCTGCAGGATCCACCCCCCAGGCTGTCTCCTACTTAACCCACCAGGAATCGCTAATGAAGGTAGGGCTTTCCCAAACAGGTTATATTCAAGCCCACCTCCTTTTTGCCTCTGCCAGGGCTCTTCAAAGATGCAATTTACCCCCCTCTGTGTGCAGCGAAAACCAAGAATATGACTGCATAGCTTATCCTAAAGGCCATGCTCGTGGAGTATGTCTTCAGGGAAATGTGGGATGGCTTAGCAAGGTTCAAGCTGAGAAGACATTTAATATACAGCTACCTTGCCTTTGCTTCCACTCTAAAATTTTAAAATTTGGCTTTGAGATAGAATGTACATTCTCCTTTGCTCATAATGTAATTTGTTCCAGTAGGCTCAAGCAGAAGCATATTTGCTTTTCACCATTACTTAAGACAGTGCTAATGTCTTTCTGCATGGGCCAAGAACCATGGGCAGTGTGCCCGCCTTTTGTCCATGGAGATTCCATAAAAGCATTCCTTAGTCCCTGTATTTTCCTTCCCCCCATGAGCTGCTTTCTGAATGACAGCTCAGAACCTTCCCAACCCTTGGGCTTCCCTGGTGGTGCAACAGATTGAACGCTGCACTGTGAGGCTGTCTGCTGGTTCAATTCCCGGCCAGCCAGGGAGAGACCCACATGGCACGGCAGAACTCTCCTGCCTCGCCCGCTGCTCCCCTCAGCAGTGTCTTTGGTCCGTCTGCCTGTTCTGCTCCCTGCATTGTCTCTGGTAAATTCTCTCACACTCCCACACCTCTGGCCTATACCTACCCAGCTCTTGTATAAATAATAAATCTTAAAAAAAAAACCAAAACCTTCCCAACCCACTTCTGTCCTTCCTCTTCCCATTTCCTGCCCGCCATGTCCTGCTGACCTGAAGTAGGTTCTACACGTAGATCCTCTTCAAGACCCTGTAGGCTTTTGCATTGAGTATAACGTGTGTAATAGAAAATGACAACAGGCCAAGGAAGTTAAGGGAGAATCCTTTATTTTCATCAGAAGTGTAACACTTATAAACCATTTACTGTAAGAAACAGGAAACCATAAACGGTGGGAGGTAGAGTGAGCAATCTTACAAAGAGTAACCTACTACATTGTGCTTGCGCTCAGATTAAGGTCCTTAGGGTTAGCATCACCTACTGGCATCATCTAGTCTTCCTTTCCTTTGTTTCCTTTTTGGTGGTGACTGGGTAGAGCAGTGATCTGCTCTGGAGGCTGCAGTTCCCAAAGGGAGGTGCCCAGGGGTCATTGTGGGTTTAGAATAGATCCAGGTCGCTAGATTCTGGGTGTACAACCCATGATGGAGATTTCCTCTCTCCCTGTGTGAGGATCACTGTTGCCATGATCTGACCCGACTCAAAAACAGTTCTCAGGCTCCTAGTTTCTTTCTAGTGTCCTGGCAGTATTTGGGGATCCTATAGCTGCCTCCTTTGCAAAGCAAAACTAAGTTCACAGTGAGACAGGACTCTGGAGTCACAAAGAGTCAGAGGATTCAGCATTTTTATGCTGACTGCTATTCTTTGATGTGCTTTTTAAGATCCAGTTGTCAATAAGGCTACTGCTAAGCTGGAATCAGTGACTACATCTTCCCACAAGCAGACACGTATTGATCTAAGGAATCCATCTGTAAAGTTTCCTCCATGCTTGTTACACATCTCCTTCCTGTGATGTGAGTGCTGCTTTTATGTGCACCCCCTGATGGCGGGTGAGGGCAGAGTTCTTAGTGAAGCTTTTTTCACACTGAGAGCACTTGTAAGGCTTTTCCCCAGTGTGGGTTTTCTGGTGGGCACTGAAATGGGAGCTGTTGTTGAAGCTTTTCCCACACTGCTCACACTTGTATGGGCTCTCCCCAGTGTGGACTCGCCGGTGAGCACTAAACTGGGAACTGTTGTTGAATCTCTTCCCACAGACAGTGCACTGATAAGGCTTTTCCCCTGTGTGGGTCCTCTGGTGGACAATGAGGCTGGAACTCTGGTTGAAGCTTTTCCCACACTGCCCACACCGGTAGGGTCTCTCCCCTGTGTGAGTTCTTAGGTGGGCAGTAAGGTTGGAACGCTCACTAAAGCCTTTCCCACACACACTGCACTCATGAGGCTTCTCTCCTGTGTGGATTCTCTGATGCCGAACAAGGTACGAGCCTCGGCTAAAGCTTTTCCCACATTGATGGCATTTGGAAGCTTTTTCCGGTTCAGGAGCTGGCTTGTGGGGAGAGGGAGAATGCTGAGAGCAGTTTCTCCCACACACAAGATGTGTGCGGGTCTTCTCCCCACTGCAGAGCTGTTGGTGACCTGTCCTCTCCTGTGATGGGGGCTTTGCCTCACTCCCCTCTGCAGAACATTGACGTTGCCCTCTTGACACTGGCATGCCCTTCCAGCCTTTCAGTGGCTTAGAGCACCAGAAATCATCTCCAGCAGACTTCCTCTGTAGGGCCTTGTTCGTTTCTACTTCTGAACCATCCCAGTTTGGACTCTCTTTTTTAATCCCATTCTTCATCTCAAAACCTGAAGTCACAGTAGTGCACTGAACTGCAGAGAAGGAAAACAAATGAATGAGGGGCAAATGATAAGATTTCACTACTCTGAAGAAATGCCTAATTGGAATTCTTCATGAGATTCAATCTTTTGCTAATTAACAGCCTGTTTTTCCCAGTTGTAATATTCTTGAGTTCCACATCTCTGGTCACTGGTAAATTATACCCTAAACTCCACATGCCCCTCTTAAATCTCTTTGGATGTTCTGACACAAAGCTGAGGCAGAGGCCAGGTCTGTCATCCATCCATCTGCCTATAGGTGTATTCTTAGATCTCGATGGCCAGACCTCTGTGAGCAGTACAACAAAGGCGCTGCCCTGGGTCCAGGCAACTCAAACAAGAAAGCACATCATGTGTATCTGGCCAGCACAGGCTTGGGTAATGAAAAAGAGATCTGTACTGGAGAGGGTGGTGGGGTGTCAGTCTGCGCCAGAGGCCTAACTAGCAATCTAAAGATGCAAAGTAAGGAGCCTCCTGGTGGTGCAAGGGGTTAAGACAACCTATGAAGCAATAGGTTCAATCTAGTGCTCCCAGCAGCACAAGTTTGATCCCCAGCCAGGGAGGTGGCCCACATAGTGCAGCAGACCTCTCCTCACTCACTCGCTGCTCCCCTCAGCAGTTTAATTCTGTCAATCTGCCTGTTCTGTCCCCTGCTCTGTCTCTGGTGAATCCTCTCATGCCCCACATCTCTGGCCTGTGCCCTAGCTCTTGTATGAATAAATAAACCTTTAAAAAAAAAAAACTAAAAAAAAAAATGCAAAGTAAAGTAGAACTCCATGAATGAAGTTGGCAAATGAAAAATCTGGGCTTTAAAATGCAAGGGAGGGCCTCCCTGGTGGTGCAGGGGTTAAAGTCTGGTGCTATCAAGCTATTGCCAGCCACTGCAGCCTGAGTTCGATCCCTGGCCAGGGAGATGACCTACATATGGCGCAGCAGACCTCTCCTGTCTCCCCACTGCTCCCCTTAGATCTATTTCAGTAGATCCAGCTGTTCTGCATTCCACTCTGTCTTTCTGGTGAATCCTCTCCTCCCCCCCACCCGCACCTCTTGCCTATACCCCAGTTCTTGTATGCATAAATTAAAAAAAAAATCTTTAAAAATAAAATGCAGGGGCCTCCCTGGTGGCGCAGGTGGTCTGCAGCCTCTGCAGCACGGGTTCAAATGCCCAGAGAGATACCCACAGGGCGCGGCAGACCTCTCCTGTCTTGCCCGCTGCTCCCCTCAGCAGTGTATTTCAGTCAGTCTGCCTGTTCTGCTCCCCACTCTGTCTCTGGTGAATCCTCTCATCCCCCGTACCTCTGGTCTGTACCGCAGCTCTTGTATTCATAAATAAAATAAATCTTTAAAAAATATTAAAATGCAAGGGAAATAATCCTTAAATACTGAAAACCAAGATTCCTTGACCCATAGAAGGTCACACAGTAGAGACTGACAAAGCCGGGAGCAAGAACAGCTCCCTATCAATTGCCAGGTTAATGGCCTCCAAGTGCACTTTCCCAGCCTTTGACCACCAGAGTCTACAGTCGTACCAAGTCTGTTTGGGAACAGGACTGACAGATCAAGACTCCCAACCTCCGGGCCAAATTCCTGACACCCTTTTCACCTTTGTCTCTGCAGCCTGCAGTGGCCCTTTCTCCTGTTTTGCTGCCACAGTTCTACTTCTCACTTGGCAAGCAACAGCCCAGAGACGACAGCTGGACTAGGAGAAGGAAACCCAGCGCGTGGAGCGGCAGCAGGCAGACATCCCGGCCCTAGCCTCTGGTCTGTCAGGGAGGCTGCAGTGAGGAGCTACCTGCCGGATGGGGCAGCACTGACTGAAGAGCCCAGACAGGAGACCGCTGGGGGGGCAGCTGCGGTTTTCATCTCTGCCTGGGGGCCCGTCGCGCCTGCAGATGTGAGCATGTGCGCCCCTCTCCCTGTTCCTCTGACGCTGTGGCTCTTCTGCCTCCCCTCCGGCCTCATCTTCCGCCTCCTCACCCTGTCCCCACGTTCTTGCTCTGTCGCCGAGCTGTGCATCCTCTGTCATGAGCCTCTCATACGTTTCCTTTCTCCCTTGCCTACTCTCAGTATGGTCCCGTTTCTTTCCTTCGCTCCCTCTGCCTCACAGTCTCCCCACAGCCTCTCCTGAGTTCTTTCAGTCTCTCTCCTGTACACGTGCCCTCAAGACCTAGCGGGAGCGGGGGTCCTTACCCCATGAAGCACTTCTATTATTCTTCTGTGACACACCCCGATGGCGCGCCCTCTGTGCAGGACCACGGCGCGTCTGTCCTTCCTGACAGAGGGATACGGCTCTGTCTTCACACACAGCTGGTCCCTGAAACAACACCAGGGCCTGCTGCTACCGAAAATATTGTCCAGCTCCAGCCTGGGGTTGGGGCAAAGATGGGGCTACAGTTGTCAGATCGGGAGACAGCAAGGTGGGGGGTTGGCCCTCCCAAGGCCGGAGCAGGCAGAGCATGTGATGATGAGAGTGACAGAAGAAGAAAGCAACCTGAGAGTTCAGCGGACACCTACAATCTTTCTAACATCTCTGGGAAAAACGAGCTCGAGGCTGAGAGAGTGCAAGGTGGAACGGGAACTCACAAGTCAGAAGGCCCTGGGCACGGCTCACCTGGACTCCAGCCGTCCAGAGCACAGCCCCTGTCTCCTGATCTCGGAGATCCCTCTTCGGGGGAATGTTCCTGGGAGCATGCAGAGGCAGCGAGGCTGGGGGAGAAAACAGGCCCCGTTAGAGGGCCGCTTCCACACAACAGCACAGAGCAGGCTCCGAGGCCCCACCAGTCACAGCACCCGGGGGGCTGTGAGACCTCTAGAATCAGAAACTGTTGGTGAGGGCTGGGAATCTGTTTTAACACTCCCCAAGATGGGTGTGACACACACTCAGGTGTGAAGGCCACACACAGAATGGTGAGGCCTTCCTTTCACGGAGTTCTTCCTGACATAATAGCTTAAAAAAAGTTTTGGAGAGCCTCCCTCTTGGCGCAGGGGGTTAAAATGCAACTTATGAAGCTATCCACAGCCACTACAGTACAAGTTCAATCCTCGGCCAAGAAGCTACCCACATGGCGCAGCAGACCTCTCCTGACTCGCCTGCTGCTCCCCTCAGCAATGGATTTCAGTCAGTCTGCCTGTTCTGCTCCCCACTCTGTCTCTGGTGAATCCTCTCACCCCCCACACCTCTGGCCTGTACCCAAGTTCTTGTATGCATAGATAAATAAATCTTTAAAACAAAAAAAGTTTTGTTTGCCATTCTAAAAAAATAAGTGTACATTACAAACATCCCCTCAGCAGTGGATTTCAACAGATCCCTCTGTTCTACTCCCCACTCTGTCTCTGGTGAGTCCTTTCACCCCCCTCCCCGTACCTCTGACCTGCACCCCAGTTCTTGTATATATAAATAAATCTTTAGAAATTCCACAGTAACTTTTTTTTTTTTTTTTAGAACAAGATGATGATTTCTTCCCAGACCCCCACCTTCAAGAATTCTATAAAGGAAATGATTCATTTTGATGGCTTATAAGAGAGGCTAAGCGGACACTCAGGATGTACAGCCCTGGGAGCGTACGATGCTGGAGACAGGAGCACCGTGACGCGCCTGGAGCCCGGGACAGAGTGAGTCCTGCCTTTCTGTCCACAGACCCTGAAGCCGAAGAAATCACAGCCCAGATGATGCTGAGGATTACAGGGAAATAAATACTAAGTGGCAAAGTCTACAAAGATATTGATAAGAGTATTTACTTCCCTTATAAACCATGAAAGCAAATGAACCTATTCGGCAATTTTCCATCTCCCCGCAGAAGCCTGCCAGCTTAAACAGTGTTCTCCTCCAGGGTCTGAGGTGTGTAAAGAGGAGCTGCTTTTTAAAAATGATTTAGCGGGCCTCCCCGGTGGCGCAGCGGTTGAGCGCTGGGTTGCGAAGCTGCCCGCGGCCTCTGCGGCGCCGGTTTGATCCCCGGCTGCTCCCCGGCCACCAGAGGAGGGTCCCACATGGCGGGCAGACCTCTCCTGCCGCCCGCTGCTCCCCTCAGCAGTGTACTTCGGTCCTTCTGCCTGCTCTGCTCCCCGCTCTGGCTCTGGTGAATTCTCTCACCCTCCCGTGCTTCTGACTGTACCCAGTGCATGTATAAACGAAAACAAACAAACAAATAAATAATAAATAAATAAAAACATGCCTCTATAAAAAAAAAAAAAGTTAAAAAAAAAAAAAATAAAAATAAAAATGATTTAGCAACCTGTAAAGGCAGGCTTCAGTGAGGTAGAAAAGGCTGCAGTGGCCTTGTGGCCACCTAGAAACGTATCCCTTCAAACTGCCTCGTGGAGAGAGACATAGAAATGGAGCCTCTGTCTGTGCAGTGAGGTATCAGTCATAAAAATGAACACAGTGTTGGGCCTCCCCCGTGGTGCAGCGGTTGAACGCTGGGTTGCGAAGCTGCCAGCGGCCTTGGCGGCGCCGGTTCAATCCCCAGCTGCTCCCCGGCCACCGGAGGAGGGTCCCACATGGCGCGCAGACCTCTCCTGCCGCCCGCTGCTCCCCTCAGCAGTGTCCTTCGGTCCTTCTGCCTGCTCTGCTCCCCGCTCTGGCTCTGGTGAATTCTCTCACCCTCCCGCGCTTCTGACTGTACCCAGTGCTTGTATAAACAAAACCAACAAACAAACAAATAAATAAAACATGCCTCTATTAAAAAAAAAAAAAAGATAAACTCAAAAGAGAAAGAAAAAGTGTAAAACTGTGAAAGGAAGAATAGACTGTCAAACTAGAAATTAGTAACTGTGGTACTAAAATGGCTAACACTGAAAAATGAGTCAGACGAGAAAAACTAAAACAGTGTCGGAAGAAAATCACAATAATGGAGAAAAGTATTCTGGAAAAGGTGCAGCTGGCTGGGCAAGACGGTTACTCCTCAAGGCCGTGCTGAGTGGCTGTGCAGGTGAAGGCAGCACGCTCACCTCTGCTCACACCTGACTCCGAAGCGAGAGGGGTCACGGCCGTGGAAGAGCACCGGGCTAGCACAGAGCGTCTCTACCTTATTTTTTTTTTTTTTATTTATTTAATAGAGGCATGTTTTTTATTATTTATTTATTTGTTTGTTTGTTTTGTTTATACAAGCACTGGGTACAGTCAGAAGCGCGGGAGGGTGAGAGAATTCACCAGAGCCAGAGCGGGGAGCAGAGCAGGCAGAAGGACCGAAGTACACTGCTGAGGGGAGCAGCGGGCGGCAGGAGAGGTCTGCGCGCCATGAGGGACCCTCCTCCGGCGGCCGGGGAGCAGCCGGGGATCGAACCGGCGCTGCAGAGGCTGCGGGCAGCTTCGCAACCCAGCGCTCAACCACTGCGCCACCAGGGAGGCCCTCTACCCTATTTTAAGCACTGTTACCCTCAACGAAAATGTGACCTCTTGTTCCTTGGCAATATTTCATAGACACCTAACGGGGAAGGCGCCAGCTCAGGCCTGCACTTCATGAGTCAGCCGACCCTCCCCTGAGGCGGGGGCTCTGCTTACCTTCAGGCGGTCCCCAGGGTCTTCGGTGGGAGCTCTGTGACCCCTTCAAAGTCAGTTCCTCAGGAAGAAGCCCCGGCTTCAGGTGGGGTCTTGTGGATTCTCTGGCTGCTCCCCAAGGGGCTGTCTCCTCAATGAGCACTTTCAAGTCCTTTCCAGAGTCAGGGACCTGAGAACAGACCCCGCCGTCTGTCACTGCAAACGCCTGCCTAAGCTGGACATCACAACCCGAGAGTGGCATTAAAACACGGCGCAAGGCATGGGGAGGCAGAAGAGACACGCTCGGAACCACGCAAATGAAGAGAATGTGGTTTCAGTCACGTGGCCTCACCGCCTCCCGGGGCCTGCGCGCCTGCAGCTGGGGGCGCCAGCGCTGGCCTTCCCTGTCGGAGACACTTGCTGCTTCCTCTCCCGCCTCCACGCCTTCCAGCACTGTCCATCCGGACTGCTGGCATCGCCTCTTCATGGCTGCCCTGCGTCCTCCCTGTGGGCCCTCCGGCTTCTCTGCATGGCACCCAGGAGGCCTCTCTAAAATGTAGGATCGCGACTGTCCCCGTCGACACTCCCTGTGGCCCTGCTGGAGTCCACACTCCTCTCTGCAGCCTGAAAGGCCCCAGCCCAACACAGGCTCCCTTCCACCTCCTTTTCTCAGACCTTCTCCCTGACCCCGAAGCTCTAGCCACAGCACCCCGCTTTCTTAAACACTCCTGTCTGTCCCACCACTGGCTCTGGAGCTGCGCTGTACCCGCAGCTTGGGGCGCTCAGCTCCCGACGCACCAGCTCCGCCTCCATGCGCTGCTCAGAAATGCCCCTCTGAGAGGCCCTGCCTCCCGTCTCCCCCGCTCCCTGCCAGCTCGTCCTGCTCATTTGCCAGAGCACCGATCTGTGCCACCTGTCCCCGAGGGATGGAGGGTCCAGCAGGCGGGAGGTCAGGCCTGTCTTGTTCCCTGTCGGCCCCGCATCTCGGCACTTCCATCCACTGCGTTTGCTCTTTAAGTCTCAAGCTGGTGCCTGCCAGCCACGGGTCCTGGGGATGGGGTCACACTCCTTGACCCTCCGCACCCCTCGGGCTCCCCATCACTTCCACGAAAGGTTTCTCGTCGCCGTCCTAGCCCTTATGTTCCTGCCTGTTGCATTAAGAGTTTGGGTCCGAAGTGGGCAGCAGCAAGAGACCACCACAGCACTGGCCAGGAGAGTGGGGCCCAGGATGATATTAGGAGACGGGGGTCCCCGCCCCATTCAGCTCACCTCACACGGGTCTTGATTCTTGGGCCGCCGCCCCCCCCCCCCCCCCGCCCATCCTGGCACCCTCAGCAGTCCCAGTGCCGCGCCCTATAACCTCCTCTCTTCCCAGCGTGTCCCTACTGCTCTCCTCTCTCCACGCTGTCAGCGCGCCGAGCACCTCCACCCGCTGTGGACACCTCCTCTCCTCGCCGCTCCTCCGCAGCCACGGCCCAGGTGGGCCCCTCGCCGGGAGATGCAAGTGGCTCCGCTCCGGCCATGCAGACTCCTCGCTGGCCAGCTGCTTCCTGCTCTGACCACAGCCTGCCTGACCCACATCCCTCCTCCCCGCTTCCCCTGGCGCGTGGAGGGAATTTCAGGCGCTCTCCTGGCGCCAAGCCGCCAACCAGAGGCCTCCGGTTATTTTTCCTTCTGTGCCTTTCGCCCTCCCTTCACTGGAAATGTACAAGATGGTTACAACAGACAGATTTCAGACTGGTCCCGCCGCCAGGGAGGGTATTTCTGAAACTGTCCAGTTAACGAGGCAGCAAGGACACATGGCCACCCCCCTTCAAGGAACAGTCTAGCAAGAGAGCGGCTTTCCGGACCCCTTGCATGAAGGATAGCTGTCCTTTGCCTGGCCTTCTTTGGAGACCTTTTCTGGGTATTTTCTCTAATTAGGGACCCTAGATCTCCACTGAAAATAGGGATGTGTAAGTTACTTCAGCAAACGGTCTTCCCAGGCCCCGGGCACAGCACCAACCCGAGATGGCTACACCGCTTGTCTCTACCAGCGCCTCTGCGGGGACTCCCGCGCTCCTCGCCGACTTCACACCCCAAACCCCAAGGTCCCGACACCTCACCTGTCGCCCCGGAGACCTCTGTACATCTTCAACCAGCGCCACGGCTTCCTCGCCATTTTCCGGGTGCTGCTCCCTAACCCAAGCCTGGATCTCCTCTGGCAAGATGGTCAGAAACTGCTCTAAAACCAGCAGCTCCAGGATTTGCTCTTTCGAGTGAGTCTTTGGTCTCAGCCACCGGCAGCAGAGCTCCCAGAGCTTGCTGAACGCCTCGTGGGGGCCGCCCACCTCCCGGTAGCAGAACTGCCGGAAGCGCTGGCGGGAGGCTTCCGAGTCGGGGCCGCGGCCGCGGGGGGCCGGCTTCTGTCCCTGCGCGGCGCCCCGGCCGGGGGGCGGCCGTGCGGGGGGGCTCCTCGTCGCCGCCATGCTCCGCTTCAGCAAACTGGCTCACTCCGGTCGCCACGGCCACGGCCGCCCCGGGGGCCTGATTCCATCCCCTCGGGCGCCAGCGGGAGCGGTGCCCGCCTGGGGCCAGAGAACCGGAGAGCGGGCGGCGAGCAGGCTCGGGAGGTGGAAGAGGCTCGACTCCGAAGGGCGGTGCGGTCGGTGGGTCGGGAGGAAGCCGGCATCAAGCCGCGTGTCTCTCCTCGCCGCGCGTCCGGGAAGATCCGTGTCCTTCACTCCTGGCACGTTCCCAGGCTCTGAAACATCAACAACGCAGCGACCGTCTCCCGCCTCTCGTCCGGTCACGACTCCCCGGACCCCGCCAGGGCTGCCCAGCTCCGGCCCCAGCCGAGCGGAGACGAGACCCGCCGGGGTCGGCCCGGCCCGCTCCTTGGGGGGGGGGGTAGCCCGGACCCTCCTTCCCGAGGGCTCCTCTCCCCTCCCCCTGCACCCCACCGTGGGTCTGCGCGACGACGCGCTGGGTGCTGTTTTATTTTCCACCATTCCTTCCCCCCCCCTTCAGACAGCGGCGTGTCCCCCGGGAGGAGCCCCCGGTGCCGCACAGGCGCTGTGGGGCTGCTCCCGGCAGGCAGCACCTCCCTCCGAGCCGCGGACCCGGCACCGGGCACCTGGCTCCTGGCACCTGGCTCCTGGCTGAGCGGGGCTGGCACCGGGCACCTGGCACCCGGCACCTGGCTGAGCGGGGCTGGCACCGGGCACCTGGCTCCTGGCACCCGGCACCTGGCTCCTGGCTGAGGGGGCTGGCAAGGCGCCGGGCCGGTCCGCACAGAGGTGGCGACGTTCCCGCTTTCCCGGGCATCGCTACCTCGGGAGGCTGTCGGGCCGGAGTCAGGACGTCCCACGCTGCCCCCTTCTCCACAAAAGGGGTGAATCTGTTCACAGGAGTGAAAACATCCATTTTTAGAAACTGGATCCAGGTCGCCCTTCTCTCCAGGAACTTCTGCCTCCTCCACCCGGGGCACCCTCGGTGCGCGCCCGTGCGCGGCGGGGCCTCCAGGGGGAAGGCGGCGCCCACTCCCCGCCGTCCAGGGCGTGCGCCCCCGCCTTCTCCGAGCACAGACCGACGCGCTCCCGGCTCCCGCAGGAGGCGCAGCCCGCGCGCGGTTCTCAGGCCCAAAGCGCAGAGCAGGACGCGGGCGGGCAGCGCGCGCGAGAACATCGGGGGCCCGGCGAGCCCGGAGGGGGCCCCCAGACCCGGCCCCTCCCTTCAGGAGGGCCGGCGCAGGAAGGACTCGGGGCGCCCCGCACTGGCCCCTCCGCTCGGAGTAGCCCCCAGCCGTAGGGGCCCCCGGGCCGGCGGGGCCCAGCCGCGAGCCCGCCCCACACTCACCGCGCGCCCGCGACGCCCCACACTCGCGCAGCCGCCCGGCCGGAAGTGGGCGCCGCGAACCCCAGCGCTAGTCTGCTCACTACGCACGCGCCAAAGTCTGTCTGGACTACAACTCCCAGGGTGCATTGTAAAGACTGGGCGTCGCGCTCGCGGCCATCGACAGGCGCAACAGCCAATAGGCAAGAGACAACGTCCTCGACCAGCCAATCGTCGCGGGGCGGAGGCGGGCCTCCTCCTAGCGCAATTTCTCCGCAGCCAGTGGGCGTGTCCGCGACCAGCGCCTCGCCCCGCCCCCCGCCCTGACCACTGGATGCCCGGTCCGGGGGCCCCAGCGGGGCGACTCCCCTGCAGGCGGGCGCGGGGCGCCGCGCTGTCGTGACGCGGCGGTCGCCGGCGCCCGCCGGGGCGCGCCCTCGGCTCCCGGCCTGAGGGGCGCGAAGGAGTGTCGCAGCTTCGCCGAGCCGGGCCGAGCGGGACGCCCGCGGAGGCCGCCGCGGCGGGGCCTGCGGAGCCGGGGGAGGGAGCCGGTCGGCGCCCCGACCCCCGCCGCTGCCCGGCCGCCCCGGCCCACCCCGCGGCCCCGGCGGGGGGCTGAGGGCGGTCGCCCCGCCGCGGGGAGTGGACGCGCCTACCTGTAGCGGCGCCCGAACTTTCCCCGGCGCCCTGCGCCGTCGGGCCGGCGCCCCGCTGCCCCCGCGCGCTCGCCGCTCGGGTGCGTCGGGCCCCGGCCTCTCCCTCGGGGACGCCGGCTCGTCCGCCCGCGGGACGCTTGGAGAGCGCGGCGGAGCGACGCCCCCTCCCGCGCCCCGGGCCGCGGCGTCTCGCCAGCGCGGGGTCCGGGTCGCGGGTGAGAAGGCCGCGCTCGGCCGCGCCCCCGGCCCCTCAGCGCCCCGGTTTCCAGCATCCGGAGCCCCGCGCGTCATGGTCCCGGCGGCGTGAGCAGTTTGCGGGAGAGAGACCCGGCCCGGCCCCCGACATGGCAGCTAAGATGGAGATAACTTTGAGTTCGCGGGCCGACCCTCAGGCCTCCTCCCGGCAGGAGAGGCACATCATAGCCAGGCTCGAGGAGAAGCGGGGGCCCCCCCAGCCCCGAGACGGCCCGGACCCCGAGCTCTGCCGCCAGAACTTCCGGCGGTTCTGCTACCAAGAGGTGGCCGGGCCGCAGGAGGCGCTGTCCCGGCTCCGCCAGCTCTGCCGCCAGTGGCTGCAGCCCGAGCTGCGCACCAAGGAGCAGATCCTGGAGCTGCTGGTGCAGGAGCAGTTCCTCGCCATCCTGCCCCCCGAGATCCAGGCGCGCCTCCCGCGGCGGCGTCCGGCGAGCAGCCAGGAGCTGGTGGCGCTGGTGGAGGACTGTCACAGAGCGCCCAAGAGACCCAAGCAGTGGGTAAGGGCGGGCCCCTCCCCACCCGGGCCGCCGGGCCCTGGCGCCCCCGTGAGAGCCCAGAAATGGGCGGGGTGGCGGCAGGTGCCTCCTCCCGCCGCTCTCCAGCCCTCGGGGGTGTAGCCGACGCCCAGAGACCCCCGCAGGCGCTCGGGGAGGAAGCGAGGACCCAGGTTCTCGCCACTCCTCGCGCCCGAGAACCTGGGGGGAGTCACCCCCCCCAGCACCCCAGGCTTCCCCCCACTCAGGATCCTGCGCCGCGGGGCAGGACGTTGACTGTGCGGCAACTTCCGAGGGCCGCGTCCAGGGAGGGCCCTTTGGGCCGCATTGCCCGCCCCGCCGCACCCCCAGGCAGAGGCCGCGGGGGGCCTAGGCCGCGAGCAGACCGGGTCCTTGGGAGATGGAGGCGGGTCGGAGCCGGCTGGGCGCGGCTCTCGGAGCCTTCCTGCGGCTGCCCGGCTGCCACCTCCTCACCCGGCCCAGGCCCGGCTTCGCGGGGCGCCGCCCCTGCTGCCCTTCCTGCGGGCCGTTCCCTGCGGCGGAAAGGGCGGGGGTGGGCACAGCGTGGGAGGCCGCCGGGCAGCGCCGCGTGCCCGCTGCCCTCCCGCCGCTGACCCCGGGCCGTGAGGAAGGCCCCGGGTCTAGGGGCTGCCGCTCGGGAGGTGCCGGCCTGGTTCTGGCCACTCTCGCGTCCTTCCCGGAGCGTCTCTCTCAGAGCCGGCCTCCCGGCCCACGGTCAAGGATCCCGGGGGTCAGGGCAGTGGCGGGGCCGAGCTGTCAGCAGCGGGTCCTCAGGGTGCGCTCCGGGGCTTGGGCTGTTCCCAGGTGGCCGTCTGCATGCAGGGGCAGAAGGTGCTCTTGGAGAAAACTGGATCTCAGCTCGGCGAACAGGAGCTGCCAGACTTTCAACTGCAGACGCCTAGGAGACAGCCCAGGGAGAGTGCTCTGGGGGCACCTTACCTGGCAAGATCCCAGGACCCCCTGAGCCCCCATCATTGGGAAAAATCGCCGCTTCTCCAGGAACCGACTCCCAAATCGACTGGGCCAGGTAAACACTGCCTCTGCTCTACCTGCCCTCGGCCCTGTACCGCCATTCAGAGCGCGTTCTGCACAGGCGGGGGCCATGTGCGTGTTCATGTTTTTAATGTTTGTGATCAAAGATCTCAGTGACACTGTTCCTAAGAAATATGTTTGCTTTTTCTGCTTTTTCTGTGTTCGATAATCCAGTGCCCCGGATTTTTTTAGTGGTCAAGTATTATTCCTCTCCCTGTCAGAGCTTATAGCGAAGACAGCTCCAAAGCGCAATCATTGAACCCCCCCTGCATAGCTGTGACTGAGTTGCCTGACTCAGAAGGGCCCCCTATTTAAAAGGGCCCTAATGAACATTCTGCTTATTAGAGGAAAGAGCCCCCGCTGTGTAGCTTTCCGCCCCTTCCTCCTCTTGTGACCGGCAGGTGCGCTGACCCCTTGCACGCATTCTCTGTCTCTGGTAAAATGCCAGCGTGGCTGCAGGCCTGCTTTACAGTCTTCCGAGCTGTAAGACTGAATGACAGTGGCACCTCAGTCAGTCTTGGTGATGTGAAGACAGGGTAGGTCAGCAGGTTAGAGAGAGGGCTGTAAAAGAACCTCCTTTCCTTAAGATTTGCTGCATTTAGTGAAACTTTGCTTATCCTCGGGACTCAGGAACAGAAGACCAGGGTGTCCGTCCTGCAGGAAAGCCTTGTGACTCCAACTGAGGCCCTGCCCCCGAACCTGTGGCCTCGTGGGCCTGCACGAAGTGGGCCGCACCCTCCCTTCTGCCTCAGCGGACGCAGCTGGCTGTGTGTCATGTCTCCACTTCTGTTTATGTGATCCCCGAAAGGGCTCGGCCATGTTCCTCATCACTGAGCCACCCGTGCCTTCCTTCCAAGCTGCATTCTCCATTTTACTTTTTGAGATACAATTCATACTGTAAATTTACCCTTTTTATGTGTATAGTTTAGTGGTTCTTAATGTAGTCACACATTTGTGCAACCGCCACCACCACCATGTAATTGCAGAGTATTCTCATGACCTCAGAAAGGAGCCGGTACCCACCGGCCGTGCTCTCCATGGCTCGCCTCTCCAATTGCTGCAGCTCCTGTATGCTTTCTGCTGTGGATTTGCCCATTTCTGGTTATTTCTTATCAAAGGAATCATACAATGTATCACTTTCTGTGGTTGGCTTCTCTACTTAGCATAATGTGTTCAGGGTTCACTCATGTTGTAGTGTCAGTGCTTTATTTTTTTATGGCAGAATAATATGCATTCTGTGGATGGACTACATTTTGTTTATCCATCGATCGGTTGATGGGTATTGCTTGCTTCCCCTTTTCGGCTCTTGTCAATTATGCTGTTATGAATATTAGTGTACAAGCTTTTCTGTGGACACATATTTTAATTTGTACACATATATAAGTGTAGAATTGCTGGGTCATATAGTAACTTTGTATTTAACCTTTTGAGTAACTGCCAAACTGGTTTTCCAAACTAATTGCACCGTTTTACTTTCCCACTATCAGTCTATGAGAATTCCAGTTTCTTTACGTCCTTGTCAATACTTGTTATTGTTGGTCTTTTTTGATTATAGTGATCCTATTAGGTGTTTTTTAAATTCTATTTATTTTTGCATAGAAGAACTGGGGTGTAGGACAGAGATAGGGGGGCTGAGAGGATTCACCAGAGACAGCGTGGGGAGCAGAACAGGCAGATCCACTGAGATACACTGCTGAGGGGAGCAGCGGGCGAGACAGGAGAAATGTGGGTTAGCCCTTTGGCTGGGGATTGAACTCAGGTCATAGTGGTGATAGCGCTGAGATTTAACCCCAAGGCCACCAAGGAGACCCCTAGGCTTTTTTTTTATTATCCTAATGACGTCAAATATCTTTTTATGTACTTATTGGTCAATTGTGTATCTTCCTTGGAGAAGTATCGTTCAGCTCCTTCACTCATTTTTAATTTGGGTTACTCTTTTTTATTGTTGAGTTCTAAGCATTCTTTATATATTTCGGATACTATATATAAAATTTGCAAATATTTTCTCTCTTGTGGGTTGTCTTTGCTGCTTGATAGTATTCTTTAAACATTTTTTTAAGATTTATTTATTTATGCATTCAAGACCTGGAGTACAGGCCAGAGATGTGGGGTGGTGAGAGGATTCACCAGAGACAAAGCGGGGAGCAGAACAGGCAGACTGACTGAAATACACTGCTGAGGGGAGCAGTGGGTGTGCCGTGTGGGTTGCTCTCTGACCAACCAGCCATCAAACTCGTGCTGCAGAGGCTGTGGATTGCTTCATAGTGTGGTGCTTAACCCCTTGCGCCACCAGAGAGGCCCTCTTTAAACATTTTAAATTCTTATGCAATCCAATTTATTTTTTTCTTTATTTGCTTGTACTCTTGGTGACAGATCTAAAATTCCATTTCCTCAAAAGCCTAATTCTGAGTCATAAAAGATTTATACCTATATTTTTTTCAAAGAGATAAGTTTAGCTCTTACATGTAGGTCTCTGATCCAGTTTGAGATAATTTTTGTTACAGTCTTTTGCATGTGGAAATCCAGTTGTTGCAGCACCATTTATTGAAGACTATGCTTTCCCCATTGAATTACCTGACAACCATGTTGAAAATCAATTAACCATTATTTTTTAAAAGATTTATTTATTTATGCATATAAGAACTGGGGTACAGGCCAGTAGTGTGGGGTGTGAGAGGATTCACCAGAGACAGAGTGGGGAGCAGAACAGGCGGACTGAAATACACTGCTGAGGGGAGCAGTGGGAGACAGGAGAGGTCTGCTGCACCAGGTGGGTAGCTCTCTGGCAGGAGATTAAACTCGTGCTGCAGTGGCTGCGGATAGCTTCATAGGTTTTGTCTTAACCCCTTGTGCCACCAGGGAGGCCCCAATTAACCATTTTTGATTGGACTGTTTATTTAAATCTGATATAAAATAAAATTTAATATTCAGTTCCTTAGTCACTGTAGCTACATTTCAAGTGCTGAAGCATCACTTGTGGCTGCCCTATTGAATATCTCACACACACAAACACACACACACACACATTTTCCACATTGCTATTGGATAATACAATATTAGGTCCTCTGACTTACCCACAGATCATTCCAGCTCATCTCCATCCTGATTCTTAATCCTGGTGGTCAGAAATTATAGATTTGTTGTAATTAGAACACACGTCTAGCCCATATTCCAATTTCTAAGCACTTATGCTGCCAATGAAAGAAAATACCACGTTCACTGGATTTACCATCATTTGAAGAGACTGTGGTGGTCATTCAGTGTCTGTGTAAGTAAGGGTATATTTGCAATGCTAAAATTTCAGCTCCCTTCCTTCTTTTCCTTCATCGTTGATAATAGGCTCTGATGGGTTTGCTTTTCCTTGTTTTTCCCTTCCCAAACCTCTCCCTGGAGTAGGAAGGAGGGAGGAGTTGGAGAACTTGGTTCATAACTGTACTATAAATCAGAATCACCCCAGGAACATGTTAGCTGTATATATTTCCAGACCTCATTCCCCACCCAGCCCCCAAATCTGACTCAGCAGTGGGGGGGCAGTGGGGGCAGGCTACCTTGTTTGACAAGTGCCCCAGATGAATCTGATGCAGATAACCAGTGGAAGACCATACTTTGAGAAACTTTGCCATATATTTCATGACTCTTGCTGAGTTTCCTTCTTCAAAGTTCAGATAGTGACATATTTCTTTCTAATTATAGAAGCCCCCAGAATGAAAAGTGACAACAAGGAAAATCCACAACAGGAGGGGGCTAAAGGAGCAAAGGCTTGTGTATTGTCAGCCAGCAGATCCAGAGGGAGTGGTCTGCAGAATCCTGAACCAAGAGCTGTGAACAGGAATGAAACCCGCTTGTCACGTAGGCATATCAGCCCCCCAAATGCTCAAAAGCCATTTACTCACTTCCAGAGACATTGCAGGGAAATGGAATTCATCAGCAGCTCCCTAAAAAGCCACCCATTGAGGGAGCTAAAGAAAAGCAAAGGAAGTAAAAGAAGCTTGAGCAGCCGTTTGCAACGTCTTAGTCACCAGCCCACCCGCTCAGCAAAGAAACCCTATAAATGTGATGACTGTGGGAAAAGCTTCACCTGGAATTCAGAGCTGAAACGACACAAACGAGTCCACACAGGGGAGAGACCCTACACGTGTGGAGAATGTGGAAACTGCTTTGGGAGGCAGTCAACCCTGAAACTGCATCAGAGGATCCACACTGGAGAGAAACCCTACCAGTGCAGCCAGTGTGGGAAAAGCTTTCGGCAGAGCTCAAACCTTCACCAGCACCACAGACTCCACCATGGTGACTGAGCGCAAGTATCATTCTTTCTGTTCGGAAGGAAGGTGTTAGTGTTTTTCCTCCCCCTTACTTGCATGTAAATCACAAAGACTGCGTGACTTACAAGGAAAGCAAGAGGTCTCTGAGGAGTGATGTTGCACATTTGACTGGCAAAGAATCCCAGAAGGCAAGGAGTCACGGAAGCTGACAGGGTGGAAAGATGGCAGGTCTGGGCATTGGGTCACAGAGAATTGTGGTCTTGGTTAGAGAGTGACGAGCAACTGCTGAGGGAGAAGCAGGATGATCCTGCAGGTGCCTCCTTATGAAATCTCTCTCCCCTCTGCTGCTTTATTTATTTAGCCTATAAAATATGTTAAGGGGTAAATTCTATCCATAATTATATATGCATTTGCTATCATGCTAGACAATCTTCATGACATGCATACTTCTTTAATAAAGATGAGTGATCCACCAGAATTTCAAGGCAAAAGTTCATTGGAATATAAATCCCCAAATAGTCTTCTAATATTCTGTAATTCTGGGCTGTGACACATGACATAAGAATATACATGTCTGTATAGGATACTATTTCCAGTAAATTAGATTATGCTTTTACTAACATACACACACACACCGCACATATAGACACATTTGAGAGATCATTTTGTATCAAAGCACTTTTGATAGAATCATTGAAACATTAATTTTATGATATATAAATCATACCTCAATGAAGCTTGTTAAAGTGGCAGATATATATAAATGTTAAAAGTCCTAACATTATATAATCCCACCACTTCTTTTTCTCAAAGTGGAAATGAAAACCCAGCGTGCAGTTCTTTGTCACCCTGGGCAAGCCAGCTGATCTCTTGGCTTAGAGGAACTCCTGGTAGATGGCTACACTACCTCAAGAAAATGAAGGTAGTGCCCGTCCTAAAACATACTCCTAATGCTGACAGTCACTTCAGGGCTGGGTCCTGTGCAGGCCTCACCCCTCCCCCAAGAATCTCAGTGTCCTCCTTCCTGCAGAGGGACAAGTACACACACACAGAGCACACGTCATCACATCTCACCCCATCTTTGCACACAGTCCCCACTGCCCTTAGGGCTTTCTGCCCCCACATCCCTGATTCACAGGTTGGTCACTGTGCAGTGACTTCTCTGGGGAGTCCTTGAAGACTTACTACACTGGTGAGTCAACTCCCTGTTCCATGCCACACAGCAGGGACACTCACATGCAGAGCAAATTCACCCCACGCCCCAGAAGCCATCTGCAATGTCTGAAAAAGTTCCTGGTTGTTATGACATGGGGAAAGGAGGGTTACTCTTGGCCTTGAAGTTGCAGCTAACATCTTAGTGTGAAGGATGGCCCTACAACAGTTATCTAGTCCAGAATAGTGCCAAGGCGGGGGACCACCCCATACACTAACGCTCTTTCAAAATAAGAACTTTTCGGGCCTCCCCGGTGGCGCAGCGGTTGAGCACTGGGTTGCCAAGCTGCCCGCAGCCTCTGCAGCGCCGGTTCGATCCCCGGCTGCTCCCCTGCCACCGGAGGAGGGTCCCACATGGTGCGCAGACCTCTCCTGCCGCCCGCTGCTCCCCTCAGCAGTGTACTTCGGTCCTTCTGCCTGCTCTGCTCCCTGCTCTGGCTCTGGTGAATTCTCTCACCCTCCCGCGCTTCTGACTGTACCCAGTGCATGTGTAAACAGAACAAACAAGCAAACAAATAAATAAATAAAACATGCCTCTATAAATAAAAAAAAATAAAAAACAAACAAACAAAAAAAAAATAAGAACTTTTAGGGCCTCCCCGGTGGCGCAGCGGTTGAGCACTGGGTTGCAAAACTGCCCGCAGCCTCTGCAGCACCGGTTCGATCCCCGGCTGCTCCCCAGCCACCGAAGGAGAGTCCCACATGGCGCGCAGACCTCTCCTGCCGCCCGCTGCTCCCCTCAGCAGTGTGCTTCGGTCCTTCTGCCTGCTCTGCTCCCCGCTCTGGCTCTGGTGAATTCTCTCACCCTCCTGCGCTTCTGACTGTACCCAGTGCTTGTATAAATAAATAAAAATAAATCTTTAAAAAAAAAACAAACAAAATAAGAACTTTTCCCCATCATTTTAGCTTTTGGATTGGGCCCACACCCAGGCAAGAGAAATAGGCTTCAGTACTCAGATAGATGTGAGTCCCTGCCATCCCTCAGGGCCATCCCTCTACATCAGATCCTGGTGACAACCTGCTGGATGCAGCACAACCTCTTGTCTTTGGGGCAGATACTTAATGACAGCCCAGTGGACTTCGTCGTTTGGTGGCCCTAAAGACTAAACCAGGTCCCTCTCCCAACAACCATGTTAGCTCTTGGGAGAGTTTGTCTTCCATGCTAGACCTGCTTCTCACTGCTCAGGGCCTCTTGATTCCTCGTTCTGTTCCCACGTCGCTCTCCCTTCCGCTCCAGGCCAGTGTCATTGCTCTCCCTTAATAACGTCCCTAATTATATGTACACCCATCAGTGCTGAAACAGATGAGCACAAACTTATTGGCTTAACACAAACATCCTCTTCTAGCTCTGGAGGCCAGAAGTCCAAAATTGCTTTCACTGGGCTGAAATAAGAATTAAGCAGGGCTGGTTCCTTCTGCAACTCTGAGGGGTAAATCTCCTTCCTTGCCTTGCCTTCTTTTTTCTTTTTTAGCTCCTAGCGACCACTTGTATTCCTTGGTTTGTGGTCCCTCTCTCCATCCTCAGAGTGCATCCCTCCAGCCTGTCACCATATAACCCCCCGACTGACTTTCCAGTCCTCCATACAAAGGACCATCATGATGATGCTGGACCCACCCAGAGAATCCAGAATAATCTCCCCATCTCAATGCCTTCAACTCAATCACACCTTGCAAAGTCCCTTTTGCCACATAAAGAAACATCCTCAGATTGCAGGGATTAAAAAGTGGGTGTCTTGGGGGCTGTAATTTAAGCCTATACCCATCTATTGAATCAAGTTTGTCAGTCAAAGATGACTTTTCCTAAAATCCAGGAAACATAGATGTCTACTTATTTCTAAGAGTTGGGATGGGGATTCTTCCTTAAATAGGAGCTTTATTTTCTTCTTGGTATATTTTGAAGAACCTGTGTGTTTTCTCTGTTCTGATCATAAAACCAAAAACTGCTGAATCTTAATGTTCTTGGGTACCTGTTCAACTGTGGGCCTTGAGTAAACGTGATAAAACTACCACACCAGGGTCTCCCTGGTGGCACAGGAATTAAAGTCTCAGTGCTACCAAGCTATTGCCAGTCACTGCTGCATGAGTTTGATCCCCAGCCAGGGAGCTGACCCACATGGCGCAGCAGACCTCTCCCGTCTCCCCGCTGCTCCCCTCAGCCGTGGATTTCAGTAAATCTGCCTGTTCTGCTCCCCACTCTGTCGTGAATCCTCTCACCCCTGCACATCTGGCCTACACCCCAGCTCTTGTATGCATAAATAAAAAAATCATTTAAAAAAACTAGCATTCTAAATATCAGTCATTCTCGAAGCTCAACCATTGATGTGTCTTACCTTCCCTAACAGGCCAGTTTTCCTCAGCAGGTAAGTCTCTGTTGGAGTGGAGGAGAGCTCGTTAGGGTCTGAAGGCCTGGAACAAGGCCCTTGGGCTCCCAGCTACATTTGGGTGTAGGGCTCCAGCCCCCACCCCCACGCTGTCTCCCTTGCCCATGCCTGTTCCACCAGCAGGCCTCAGCAAAAACAGACCTGTCAACTTGCAGTCAGCCCTCCAACAGAAGAAAATGTCTCCTGCAGCCCGTCCCCGTGGAGCAGCCTGCCCATAAGGTTCCTGTATTTCTTGGGTTTGCCCTGTACTTACCCATGAGGGGTGGAATGATTCTACTTGGGATCTTCCTGTGGTCCCTGGTTTCCATGATAAATGGGGAAGGGTGCACCCTCGCACAGGTGGGGTTCTCCACAAGAGATAAGAACCCCCTCCCATAATACCATCATCACCCCCAACAAAATTAGCAGTAACAAAACTAGCAATTAACACACAACACAGTGTTGCAATTTCCCCAATTGTTTCTAACACAAAAATGGCATCTTTTATAGTGCGTTGTGATATACCAGAAAATTCATCCACTGAAAGGATACAGCTCAGTGATTCGTTAGTTTAGTCATAGAGTTGTGGCAACCATCACCACAACCTAATTCTAGAACATTGTCAGCAGCCTAAAAACAAGCCCCATTCTCATTCGTGGTTTTTCCCTGTCCCTGCACACCTCCCCTCCTGTCACTCAGCAGTCACCAGGATTCATCCAGGTTGTAGCCTGTGGAGTGCTATATGCGTTTTAGGGCCGGACAATATTAACTAATGGATGGAGCACATTTTATTTATTCATTCGTAAATCGATGGGTGTTTGAGCTGTTTCCACTTTTGGGCAATTGTGAACAA